CAGAAAAAAGGTGATAGGTGGTGTGATCACAGAGCTGAGAGATTTGAAAATGGCTGGTCTTGAACACTGGAGTGATGCGGCCACAAGCCAAGGAATAACAGTCACCAGAAGCTGCAATACTCAGGGAACAGATTCTCCCCTTGAGCCTCTGGAAGGAGAGTGGCCTTGTCAACACTTTGATTTTAGCCCAGCAATACTGATTTTGGACCTTTGGCTTCCAGAACTGTGAGAGAATAGATTTCTGTTGTTTTAAGCCACTCAGTCAGTCTGTGATCATTTACTACAACAGCCTCAGGAAACAAATGCACCACATAAAGCCAGAAACGTGCCCAGGTCTGTCTGGCCCCAATGGCTCAGTTGTGTCCTCAGTACTGTGGAGCCACAGGGGAGAAAACAAAGGTAACTCCCATGGTCTGCACAAATGGAGGTGGAGTGGGTATGGAGAGTCCACGTGGGTCAATACATTTGGCTTTGGGAACAAAGTGTGCTTTTTTTTTTTAATCCTCACTCGAGGACATTTTTCTGTTTTTTGTTCAGCTAGAGTGGGAGGGAGAGAACTATCGACGTGAAAGGGACACATCGAGTGGTTGCCCCCCGACCCAACCAGGGCCGGGGACAAACTGCAACCAAGGTATGTGCCCTTAGCGGGAACTGAACCTGGGTCTCTCTGGACCGTAGGCTGACGCTCTAACCACTGAGCAACCGACCAGGGCAAAGCGTGCTTTTAAAAAATTAACATTATGAAGATTGATTTTGCTACATGTGGTAGTCTGAAAATGCTCCTTGGTTCAGGCTTCTGAATAACTGAGGATCCCAGTGGCTGGACGCTGAGGAGCAGTGGTGGCACAACCCAGGATGAGGGATGCTTGACAGATGCTCCCGAGAGGGGACAACCCTGCTGACGTGAAAGTAACATCGTCAGACAGGCTAATAGATCACAAGTGTCAGAAGCTGCTAGGTTAGAATGTCACTCTGTCAAAGATTTAACAGGTGGGAACACATCATGCCCAAATGGATTGAGACGGTTCAGTAGTTACATGGACAGCAGAAGCAAAATCAGCAATGGTGTTAGTGTCCCTTGTCCACAAGATGACACTGAAACAAAAGGGGCTAGGTGACATTAGACAGGAATGATGGGGCCCCAATTCCACACTGCAGCAAAGCCGTTTGACAGCCCAAAGCTGGAAGGAGGGCAAGGTGGGATGGGGATGGAAGCCCCACCTCATCAGAACAAGGAGGCAGATGAGAAACAGCCTATGGCTGTAGCCTCACTGAAGATAGAAATGGCCTCGTGGCAGCTCCTCTCATGACCACCTGACTTCTCATGTTCCAGGAGGATCCTAGGGTATTCCACCAAGGTGCAGGTCAGCTGTGGTTAGGCCTTGCCTACATGGCCTAGGTGGATATGGGCAAGGTTGTCAGGGCACCAGCACGGAACAGTTCCCCTAGAGAGATGAGCTCCTTACAGAGAAGAATAAATATAAGAGACCCTATAAAAGTGTCCACGGTGAGGTGTGTGGTACAGCGGGAAGAACTGTGGGCAGGGAGGGAGGAGTCCGCTGGTGCTGACATTGTTCTAGGCTCAGGGATGGTGCAGCAATTGAAGAAGACATGATTCCTGCCTCCATGGAGCATCTGGAGAGATATAAAATAAACACAGATACACACACATATACATATATACAATCAGTGATAAGTCTAGGAAGAAAAATAAGACCAGGTAAAGGAGAGCAAGGAGTGAAAGGTATTAGTTTAGCTGGGGTGGGTCAGGGAAGGCCTCAAGATGACATTTGAGCAGCCTCTTGAATGAAGTCAAGGGAGGCTGTCATGCAGTCGTCTCATGGAAAACCATTTGTGGCAGAGGGAACAGCAGATGCAAATGTCCCAAGTTGTGAGCTTGCTGGGTCAGTCCCAAGGGCATTGGGAAGACCAATGTGGCTGGAGAGTGCATGCAGGGGAGGGAGAGGTGGTTGAGGTATTGTGGCGAGGCCTTGGTTTGCTGTATTTTTAATTTTTAAAAAATTTAAAATTAGTTTATATTCAATATTACTTTGTATGAGTTTCAGGTATACAGCATAGGGGTTAGCCAGTCACATACTTTACAAAGTGTTCCCCCTTGCCTGGCTGGTGTGGCTCAGTGGATTGAGCATCATCCCATGGACTGAGAGGTCCCTGGTTAGGGCACATACCTGGATTGTGGGCTCAATCCTCGGGTAGGGGGTGTGCAGGAGGCAGCTGATACATGTTTCCCTTTCATTGCTACTTCTTTCTCTCTCTCTCCCTCTCCCTGAAATCAATTAAAAAATGTTTAAAAAAGAAAGAGAACATTTTAAAAAGGGGGGGCATGTTTGCAGTTTTGTAGTGAGAGTATATTGAGTTTCTTTGTGAATCATTCATTTCCTTGTATTCAACCCCTTGATTGTGGTACAGACAGGCCCTCATTGAAACCACCTGGCAGAGGTTACTATAACTTGGCTATTACTTAACTCCTCCTAAAGCCAATGGCTCAGGTAGTTGGGGATTCAAATCTTGGTTCCGTCTTTTACTTGTTCTGTGACTTCAGTTAAGTCCCATCACCACGCTAAGCCTGTGTCTTCTTCTGTACAATGAGCTAACCATGGTACCTTTGGGTTATTGTCAAACTACATGAGACGAGGTATATACAGGGCCTAGCACAAAGCTGTGCTCACATAATGGCAGCTGCTGCCATCGTTAGTAGTGGTTGAAGACCTGGTCCTGGCATCGAGGGTCTCAGGTGCTCAAGATGGAGGGTGATTAGCCCTTAATAAGCTTCTGAATCCAGTCCTGGCAGGGTGGGGAAAGTGCTGGGGGCATGGCCTGCACACACTCCTCCCCCACCCCACACGCCTGCTTTTAGCTCCACCTTCTCTTAGTGTCTTTGCTGGAAGAACCTGGAACCCTTTGCTGGAAGACACAGGTGCTCTTTAGAATGATGCCCCCCTGTGGCTGAATGAGAACTTGCTCTGCTGGAAGACACACGTGCCCTTTAGAATGATGCCCCCCTGTGGCTGAATGAGAACTGCTTTGCTGGAAGATACAGGTGCCCTTTAGAACGATGCCCCCCTGTGGCTAAATGAGAACCTGCTTTGGGAGGAAAGGAGGGATTGCAGTTACCCTTTAAGATAGAGGTCTTATCTCCATTTCGCAGGTTCATCCAACGTCATTTGTTAAGGACCTACTATGTGTCAGGCACTGTCCCATGTGCTCAGAGTACAAGAGTGAAGAACACAAAACCCCTGCTTTCATGGAGTTTAAAAAGAAACAAACATATAGAGAGTATATAATGCATTAGATGGAGATGAGGAGGAAAATAAAGCAGGACAAATGGATAGCAAGTGTTGGGCAGGGGCCAGGTCCTGCAGGGTTCTTCAGGGACCAACCAGGTCACTGCAGTTGTTGTCAGAGATAATGGAAGCTGGACCCGGGAGATTGCAGAGGAGGAATGATGAGAGACGATTTGAGATGCATTTGCAGCAGAACCTTGAGAACTTGCTGATGGACTGGACGTGGGGTGAGAAGAGATGTGGTCACACAGCACAGGAGCTTGCCCAGCCAGGGCCAGACTGGACACTAGAAGTCACAATGTGCTTCCCTGTCCTCGCCTGAGAAGAGTGGACCTAGGAGTGTGTGCGCACATGCGTAAGGGAATGGGAGGCCACAGCTACTGCCCATGACAAAGGAGCAAATCCATTTTAAAGACAAAAAAGATCTTCCTTTATTTGGCCCGGGAGGAAGAAGTCCTGACAGCAGTTCCAAAAATCCTAGTGACTGGGCTAGAGAAGCAGGGAGCCCACACTTCTGCACCAGTTGCTTCCATGGAAATGAGCTCAGCTTTAAGGAGTTCCTGGTAGGGACTAGCACGCTTTGTATCGCTGGTGGGCACACAAAAGGGTTTTACTGCTTTGGAGAGCACTTTGGCAATGCCATCATCCAAAGCCACAAAGACATGTTCAGCTCTTGCCACGAATGCCTGCTTCCTTCAGTGGCCATCTTTTTTTTTTGGGTACGTGCCCCTAGCGGGAACCGAACCCGGGACTCTCTGGTCCACAGGCTGATGCTCCAACCGCTGAGCCAAACCGGCCAGGGCTCAGTGGCCATCTTTTGAGGAAGCAACCAGATGTGCCCCAAACTGTACCTACAGGTTGTTTGGCATGGTGTGGTTTACAAGATCAAACAGAAACACCACATATGCCCCACAGTAGACTAGTTTAAACTGAACTTGTTAGAAAGAGTATCATCACAACAAATTTGCCTTTTTTAGTGAATTTTTATCTTTCCATTAGGACATGTCCCATGCATTGCGATATTCTTGGCTTGGCCGATTTAACTCCAGGTCTCCTTACTTGCCAACCAATTTTGGGATGATTCAAAATGCCCTACCAATTAACAAAATGCCTTGGTTGAGAATGAGTGCCCTGAATTCAGAAGCCCCGGCACCAGTGGCTGAGTTAAAACCTGTGAAGCCTGTCTGGGTGGTTGAACCTTTCCTTCTGGACTACCCAGAGGACTAGGATGAAAACAGCCCTAGCCAGCCTGGATCCGGACCAGTGTGCTCCTGCATTCTGTGGCTGGCAAGCCCTCTGACCTTGGGCTGGCCTGAGCTGTGGTGGCTGAATTATATTACTTCCCAGGACTGGGTGGGAATCCCAACAGGCCCTTGTGCTTGTCTAGATGATGCAGGTTTTAAGTAGTGTCTTTGTGATCTCTTTTGGTGTGTAATAATGAACTTAAGCAGAAACTTTCAAGCAGGGTGAGAGAAGGGAGTCCAGGGCTGGGGACGGAATAAATGTCCATGGGGCACGGAGATAAAAGCACGAGCTTTGGAAGCAGGCAGACCTTACCACTTACCAGCTGTGGGATTTAGGTTTTGCACTGTAAAATGGGACCATTGAGGCACTGAAGTACTTACAACTGCGGCTGTTATTACACAACTTCTTCAAAGCAACCCATTAGAAAGTACCAAACTCCACTGTCCTCATTCTGGTTTTTAATGGTCAAGGTGACAATAATTTACAAAGCTTTTCCAGACCTGCGTTGTTTCCACAGTTGCCACCACCTGCTGGAGGACACGCTGTGGCAGATGCTGCAGCTCCGCAGGCCCCTGCCAGTTTGGGATCAGAAGCACCAAGCTGTGTCCCTTTCTCAGGATGGGTCTTGGCTGAAATCCAAGCCGTTCCCCAGCTCTGGGTGTAAGTAGTGTTGGTTCTTGGCTTGTCGCAGAGTGTGAAGCAGGAGTGATTGGTGATGACTGCTTGGAAAGAGGACTGAGGCACATTATATTCAAAACCAGGAGATTCTGAGTCAGCGTTGATTCTAAGTCTGTGGTTCACTTAATAGGGAGGTGGAAAGGTTTCCAAAACCCCAGTGATCCTCTTCTCCCAAACTTGCACAGAAAAAAAGCACATTTATTCATACAGGAGGTCTTTACCAGACTGCCTAAGTTGCTGCAAGCTCGAACTCAGCAGGCCAGAGAAACCATGAGGCAGAACCTGCACACTAAAGCCAGGCACTGACTCAAAATGTACTCAGCACAGGCTCCCGCAAACGCAGAGTAAAAGGTACTGGTAGCACAGGTACGCCCCACCCTCAACATCTGATTTGCCACGTACATCATTATCAAATAGCTCAGTGGTATTTTGATTCTAACTAAGATACCCCAACTCTGAACTCACGTGGGCACGAGCTGTTTCCCAATGAAAAGATACCCCTACTACTCCCCAGGTACACACTTCTGCACATGGAGTAAAGCAATGACAGGGCAGCTGAGAATCACCAGGGTGACAGCAGCCCAGATGATGGGGGAGGCAAGGGCGGGGGCAGGCAGGTGTAATTAGAATCTCAACTGGCCCAGGTCTGGGAGCTCGAATTTCCCAGGGTTTGAGTGAAAGGAGCACAGGGAAGTTATTTATTTTCATCTGAAGGAGTCATGTGCATCTAGATCTGACCTCACACTCAGGGGCCTCTTGCTCCTGCCTGGTTTAATCTGGGCAAGAGATTTGTTCTTGGAATAAGTGGCTGCAAAGCCTCTCTCTACAAGTCCCCCATTGCCTTCCTTACAAAGGGGGAAATCCTCCACTAGTCATCATGGGAATGGCAGGTGGACACACAAGTAGATGGGCATTGTACACCGCAAGCAATTTTTATGCAGGAAGGTTCTTCTCACACGCCCTGGAGAGAAATGATTTTTTTTTTGGTATGTGCCCCTAGCAGGAACCGAACCCAGGACTCTCTGGTCTGCAGGCCAACACTCCAACCGCTGAGCCAAACTGGCCAGGGCGAGAGAAATGATTTTAAAGCAATCAAAGCCTACTTCACTGGTAGAGGTTCCATATAACATGCTGGTGATATTTCTTCAATTTTTTTGTTTGTTTTTATTTTTTTCTTTAAAGTCCATTGATCGTCACAAAAACCCAGGAAATGCAACTAAGGAGAAAACAAATGTCCAACTGAGATCTAAGAACCCAGAGCTACGGAGGAGACGTGGCACTGGACCGCTGGGTGTTCAGAAGGGGGCGGGAGGGGCAGTCCCCATGGGGCAGCTGGCCGTGGGAAACACAGGAAGAAGGTGAGGCCGCCCAGCAGGGCCAGGTGGTTATGTTAACCGCTGCACGATGACCGCATTGAGCAGGTTGGCTTCTTTAAGGGTCTGGTTCTCATCAGCCAGCTCTTTGTTCGGGAAGGTAGTCATGAGGACGAAGCTGGTGGCGGCCATGGCCGGCCGAGCATCCACGATGAAGAGTCGGATGTCACTGATCCTGGTGGGCAGGGGTGAGTGAGGAGGTGGGTGAGCAGTGCCCTTCTCTTTCTGCCCACAAACCCCACCCTGCAGAAGGCTGCTCCACATTCCCCAGGTTCCCTACCCTGACCCTGTCCTTCTCCAGAGTGGCCAAAGCCCTCCTTTGGAAGCACATTAGATCAGGTCACTCCCCTGCCTCAAACCCTTCAGGGTTGCTCCCATTTTCTTTGTGAGATGTTTCTTACTGTGGTCTGAAGGTCAGACTAATTTTACACCACCCTCCTTCCCCTTGTTCTCTTTCTAGTTCTTTATCACACCACGCTCCCTGCCTATATTTGATGTCCCTCTTTCTAGAGGCTCCTCTGACTTTTCCTGTAATCCTAACCAAGCCTCAGGCCTCAGCTCAAAAGCTGCCTCTTCAACAAAGCCTTCCACCCAAGCTCCATTCCCTGATCTGCTTCCATGGTACTGATTGATCGAGTTTGTAATCAAACAATTTTGGGATATGATTGTGGTCTGTCTCCTCCTGTAGACCATGAATTCCACAAGAATATCAAATATTATGTCTCTTTTCTGAGTCACTAAAGGTATTAGAAGAATTACTGAAGGTCAACAACTCGAGTACCAGGAATCCCTACTCTAGACACCGCTTGTGTCCTGGACCTGGTGATCAGAAGAATGGAGTCATCTAAAATAGACAGTCTTTTACCCTACAGCACTTACACAAACTTCTTTCTGTCCTCCAACACTTAAAGTTTATGCAACCCAAATTTGGCACATCTAAGGGCCTGGAGATCCATGATACAGTCTGAGACTTTTAGCAAACAGTCCTCTCACCCACCAGCTGGTAAGCACTTGGGATGGGCTGTCTACCCTAGGGAGTGAGCAACACTCATGCTGAAAGGCTGGAGTTACTGAGTGAAATGAAACTGAAGCAAAGAACTCAGATTAGTGACATAAACTAATTCCCTTAAACACCAAGCACCTGAAAATGCAGTGAACAGTTCCTACTTGAACGAAGTCTCCATGTGCTCCCGGGGCTTGTTTCACAGCTTACCCGACATGTGAACCTTGTCAACATACAACAATTGTCAAGCCATTCACTGAGTCCCACATGCAGGTTCTGGATCACCCTGTGCCTCAGTTTCCCCATCTTTAAAATGAGGGAGGCACAGTTTGCTTTGAACCAGGCCAGATAGTCTGAGATAGTAGAGCAGGTATTCTAGAATTCTCAATACCAGATCTGGAAGAGACCTTAATAGCCTGGTTTTCAGAGGCCCCTTGTAGGAGAGAGGTGGAGGAAGCCATGGGTGGGATGCTGGTACTGTGTCTCCTTTCCCCTATATCTTTAAATTATTATCATTCTATACTTGGGCTTCAGCATGAGATTTCCTTTGAACAGAGTTTGATGCCTAAAAAATCCCTACAGAATCCAATCCCTAATTTTACAGATGAGGAATGAGATGCACAGGAGGGAAGTGAGCAGTCACTGGTCACATTTAACGGAAGTAGGAACTAAAGGCTTCAGACCTGCATGTCTTCCATCCCATTGCTTTCTTTGTGAGAAGCAGAGTGCTTGCTGGGGTCAGAAGAAAGATGAGTTCCCTGCTTCCCCCTGATCTGTGGGTATCTCTGGGACCCTCTTAGAATAAATTAGGTCAGATAACATAAAGTACCTGTGGCTGTGGTTGAATTTCTGCACCAGCCTCCCACCGTCAGCAAGCCGTATTTGGATGTTTGTGGTAGGCTGTGACTCGTCGATTGATATGGAAGAGCTGGCTTTGGCTTCGTTTTCTGCTTGCTGGGCTGGAGAGCTGGTATTCAATACCTGGGGTGCAGTGCTAAGGAGACAGGAGACAGATGTTGCCAGGAGAGTAACAGAAACAAGGCCACTAGCAGGAGGGAAATGTTGTCTTGGCTTTTTACTAAGCATTTGCTCCTTCTGGTATTGTGTTTAGTGTTGCTGAAACGAGGAGTGACTAAGACAGGGTGCCTGCCCTCATAGAACTTACAGGCCCAGCAGAATTCGCCTCAAATTCTGAGTTACTGCTAGCTCCTGCTCACTCCTAGAAACTTTGGACAAGTTATTCAACCCCTCTTCCTTGGTGTCCTCACCTGAACAAGGGCTTAAAGGGAGGAAAGCTAGATGCATGACAGCCTGGGATGAGAATGACCAGGACCTGAAGCTGGAGGGCCCAACAGACCAGGATGAATTTTAGCCTCAATGAGAGAGGGGAGAGGGGCACTGCAAGTCTGCAGTGGAGGCAGGTTTGACACAGCGTGGCAGCGGTGATGGGATATAAAGGATGAGTCTAGAATCTTCCACTGTGATGGAATTTTCAGGCCTGTATTCCCTACTGAAACCTCATTCAGGGGTATATTTCACACTCCTGTCACCTATGAGAAAGGGCAGGGAAGAGGCGGGGATTTCCCCGAAGGTCAACTAAGTGCCTGATACCATAAAAATTATTATACATTATGAATAAGACATGGTGTCTGCTGTAGTGTTTGGAACTCAGATCTTACAAGCAGATGGACCAGGGCTGGAATTCATCCACTAGCTATGTGGTGCTGAGCAAGTTACTTTAGTTCCCTTAGTTTCAACAAGGGTAGTAACAAGGATCTTTAACAAGGGTTAAAACTACCAGCCTTGCTCAGTTTTTGTGGAGATTTAAGGGAAAAATCAAGTAAAGCACTTAGGGTGGCTGACAAACACTAAATGTATATAGAACTCCCAATTCTCCACAACCATTTAGAGCCTTTGTCTCTCTTCTGTAAACCAGCATACCTCTCGCTCTTGGCCTCAATAAAAAGAAAAAAATAAGCTTCAGAATCCTTATTTGTAGAATAGGGATCAAAAAAGGATTAAAGGCTGTAATGTATATGAAATGTTTACTATAGTGCTTAGTTAACTGTAGAAAAAAGTCAAATAGCTGATTACTATCATTCTTCAATGTCCTGTTCCACTTATATTTGCCTCAATTGTGGACCCAAATCACTCAGAGATGCTTCTGCCTATCCATGGGCTGTAAACAGAAGGTTACCCAAGAGGCACTCCCAGCCTATACTGCCCTCAGGCAGGGTAGGGAGTGGAGGAGAAACCTCAACACCAGGACTTAATTCTAATTGGGAACAAACACTCAAAGTACATTAGTTCCAAATTGCTCTAATCAGCGAGTAGGACAGCCATGTGCATCAGTTCAAAGAATGACCAGCTGTGTTTGGTGCTTGAGAACTGCTTTCACCCGAGCCACCCCTCTCCAGCAGGGGCTGGGCCATCTGTAGCAGTGAGGGTACTTCACCCATGGGCAAGAATGGTCAGATCAGACACCTATAAAAGGAGGAGTTTCTTAACTTTCTCCCCGAAAATATCATATAATGAGTCACAGGGAAATTGAGTCTCATTCAGATCAAGATCCTCAATCATCTGACTGTTCATTTCCTTTGTAGTGGGAAGAAAGTAGATACTAATGGTACTTTGTTTCCACAATTTTAAGTCCTGAGACTCTGCCATCAACATTGACTACTACAGAAAGCACAGTGAGCAGCCAAACCTCATCCCCTCACTATAAGGACCTTGTCTCACTCAAGTGCAACTCTTGGTGTTTGTCACTCAAACTCAAATAAAAGCAGTCTGTCCAAATCTTCAAATTAGTTCCCATGCAAACAACTGCAATAGTTAAAACAACAAAAAAAGTGTAATATAACTGAAAAAAAAATTTTTTTAATTTGTTTTTTTCTTTATTGATTTTAGAGAGAAAGAGGAAAGGAGAGGGAGAGAGACAGAAACATTGATGAGCGAGAACATTGATTGGCCATCTCCTGCATGCCCCCCACTGGGGATATGGCCCACATCCTAGGCATGTGCCCTGACTGGGAAGTGAACTGGTGACCTCTTGGTGCATGGGTCACGCTCAAGAACGAAGTCACACCAGCTGGGCTGAAAAAAATCTTTTCAACTGAGAACAATCTATTCATTCCTTTCAAAGTATTTCTCCAGATAATCGGAGAAAAACCTAGGACTGACTGATTTTTAAGGCAAACCTGAAAAATTCTTCTTTTTCTTAATCCTCACCTGAAGATATTTTTCCATTTATCTTCAGATAGAAGGGGAGGGAGGAAGAGAAAGGGAGAGAGAGAGACAGAAACACTGACGTGAGAGGGACACATCGACTGGTTGTCTCCCTCACGACCCTGACCAGGGCCAGGGATGATGAACTGTGACCAAGGTACATGCCCTTGACCGGAATCAAACCTGATACTCTTTGGCCCATGAGCTGAGGCTCTAACCGCTTAGCAACCCGGCCAGGGCTGAAAAATGTTTCTTAAACTGTTGGCTCTTGATGATTTTCATTGATATGACAATGGAAAACACAGTAAAATTTATAGGAAAAACTAAAACAAAACAAAACAAATGGTCCATCAGGTTTAGACTAAAAACCTAAAATCCCATCTTGCTTAGCTGTATAAAACTTTTTTAAAGCCCCGGCTGGTGTGACTCAGTTGGTTGAGCGCTGTCCCATGCACAGAAAGGTTGCCAGTTCGGTTGATTCCCCAAAAGGGCACATGCCTGCGTTGTGTGCTAGATCCCTAGTAGAGGCTGTGCAGGAAACGGCAGATCGCTGTTTCTCACATCAACGTTTCTCTCTCTCTCTTAGACAAAATCAAATAAAATCAATAAAAACATACTTTAAAAAACCAAAAAAGACTTTTTTTTTAAAACCAAGAACTGAAATAAAATGAAAATGGAACTGGCAATGAACATTTATTTAGCTGACAAACAGCACACCTGATTATCAAGCTCTGTTACGACTTGTAGGTTCATCCCCCACACTAATAAAGTATGTCTTCCCATCCTGCTAAAATAGACTTCCTTAAGAATATTTTCACTTTTTGAGCCCTGGCCAGTTTGGCTCAGCGGTTAGAGCATCGGCCTGCGGTCTGGAGAGACCTGGGTTCGGGTCCCGCTAAGGGCACGTACTTCGGTTGCAGTTTGTCCCCGGCCCTGGTTGGTCGTGCGGGTGGCAGCCACTCGATGTGTCCCTTCACGTCGATGTTTCTCACTCTCGTTTCTCACTCTCTCTCCCTTCCTCTCTCTCCCTCCCACTCTATCTGTACAAAAAATGGAAAAATATCCTCAGGTGAGGATAAAAAAAAAAAAAAAAGGATATTTTCACTTTTTGAGATGTGGAGTTTTGCATATAGTTGGGCCTTCTAATAGTAAAAGCATTTCCTGCTAGTAATATGAACCCAAGCAAACCCAAACTGCATGGAGTAAGGAGTCCTGAGTCTGAGCCTTTCTTTATGATTGCTGGTGGGTAAAAAACTGATACCTCATTTTTGGAGGTCAATTTGACAACATCTTAAAAATGTGAAGACCTTTGGAGTCAGCAATTTTAGTTCTAGCCCAAGATTAAGGGGCATACAAAGATTTAATCAGAGATATTGCAATATTATTCCTAATACTGGCAGCTGCCTAAATGTTTATCAGCAGGGACTGGTTCAATTATAGCACATACACAGGACAGAAAATTATATTAGTATTAGAAATAATATTATAGACATATATCTGCCACACTATATGGATTAGGCAAAATAGCAGGTGACAAACAGCTATACATATAAAACTAGTGTCTATACCTAGACACTAATAGGATATGTATACCTGGGAGTTAGGTTTAGGAATAGTTTTTACTCTTTATGTACACTTACTATTTAAAAAAAAAAAAGAAACACATTTTATTTTCATAATAAAAGGAAAAAAAATTATCTGGTGCTCTACAAAGCTTACCATAGCTGACAGGAAAGTTGCAGATGGACCATCCTGAGAACAGCTGTCCTGGACTAAACCCAGGGACCCCAATGTGGTCAGTGAAATGATGAGAACAGGGTGGACTTAACTATGTTGGTTCTGGTAAATTACAATCTGTTAGTCTCTAAGGTCCTGAGCTATGACTCTTGACCCTGATGAGGCACAATGGCCAAAAGGGAGGTAGGAGATTCTAGGAGAGGGCCAGCCAGCACCTGAAAAAGCACAGCTGCTGACAGACCACACTCTGTTCCTTGCAGATGAAGGTGAGATGAGCAAGGGCAGTGGCTAGTTCAAGAGCTGCCAGATCTAGGTCAGAGAGGGTATCTTGTTATGCAAGAGGAGTGTGGGAAGGAATGCCAGTCAGAAGGACTGGGTTCCAGTCCCAGCTCCAACACATACCAGTTATGTACCCAGGGGTTACCCTAAAGTACAAGAGTCTCAGCTTTCCCTTTGTAAAATAAGGACCATACTATGCTCCAAGTGCCTCTCATGTGCACTCAGTTCCCCCTGAAGAATACTAGTCAAGTGACTCCATGACCACGGCCAAAAGTGAGTGGGCCCCTGAGAGAAGACAGCCTGCCTATGGGTTGGTCAAGAATCTGGTGGGAGAACTCTGCTTATCAGAGGTAACAGTGGCTATCAATTAATCAGATTCTATCAGAGGTCTGAATGCACAACCGGGCTGTGGCAAACGGCACAAGGCAGAAAAAGTCACAGGAAGGGACAGAGTGAGTATCAGGAAGGGCCACAGAGAGAACTACCATAATGGTGGACCTGCAGCCTGCACTGGGCAACAGTATCCTTGAGCTTCTTTGGATCCCAAACAATGCTGCTACAGGGCTTGCTGCGAGGGAAAAGTCCAGGATTCCTTTTTCCCTCTGAATCCCCATTTCAGGTGACCTGAATGTGTGTGTTTGTTTTAGCCTTAAGCCATCAAGGTTACCCCTGCCCTGAACACCCTGAATTACCAAGTCAAAGTAGCAATGTGTTACCCTTACTGCCTACACCGCCTGCTGTGGGGCAGTGCTCTATGTGCTCTTCGCAACAATAATCAAAGAGCTGAGGACTCTCATTAGCCCCTTTTTATAACTGGGCAAAATAAGGCTATATACTCCAAGGTCATGTGGCTAGAAAGCAAAGATTTAAACAGGTCTAGTAATGTCAAAGCCACACTATACTATCTTCCTCACATAAAAATAAAATGAGAAGTACTTTATAAAGAGTAAAAAATGCCCTGGCTGCTTTTGCTCAGTGGTTAGAGCATCGGCCTGCAGAACAGAGTTGTGAGTTCGATTCCTTTTGGGCACGTACCTCAGTTGCAGTTTCAACCCCAGCCCTGGTCGGGGTGGTGCAGGAGGCAGCCAGTCGATGTGTCCCTCTCACATTGATGTTTCTCTCTCTTTCTCTCTCCCTCCCTACCTCCCACTCTATCTGAAGATAAATGGAAAAATATCCTTGGGTGAGGATTAAAATAAATAAATAGTAAAGATTTACATAAAGTGAACAATACAAAGGATCTGCTGAGTCTGACAAGCAGTTCTGCTCCCACCTGTGCTACTCCTTACCTGCCCAGTTTCTGACCCTCGCCCGTGAAGGCTTTGAAGGTTCCTTTGGGCTTCACGAAGTCCTCGTCTCGATGGTCCTCCATGTCCAAATTCACTTGCCCACCATGAGCTAACCTCCGCAGCTCTGCTGGCACCTCCCTGAAGGAGAAAAGGCAATGCTGGGATCCACAGAGACCAGGATGGGAATGACAGTGATGGGTACAAGAGTAAACTTTTCAGTTCCAACTGTGAAAATCGCTGGGCCTCCACAGAAAGCTGGCTACTCTAGTGGCTACCTGTTTGCCTCCCCTTCTTTCTTGTCTGCTCAAAGACACAGTAGAAACCTGTATTTGTTTGGTAACTTGGCTCTGCTTGAAGTCCAAAAGGGACAAACAGGCACAGAGGATTTTGGTGCAGATCTGTGGATCTGTACCTCAACTGTGTAAAACCTGCTTACAAATGTTTACTTCTTAAATAGTAAACATTCGGATCAGCCTTTTCTTTCCATCTGCCATCTCATTCACTGACATGGAACTTGAAGAAGGGTTTTTCTGCTTACCCTCTGCGGATGGACTCCAGAAACTGGGCATTAGATGGGTCTTGGTAGCTTCTGAGTTCGCCATTGTCCAGGCTAAATCCACTCTTCCAGAGCTTCAACACTATATGAACCTGTAACAACAGCAGGTAAGCAGTCCATACACTCAGGAATCTGGCAAACACACCGTTTTGAACCTGCAAGTTATTAGGTTTTTACTTTTACTGTGCCATTATTAAAACACAAATACAAACACATGCCTGAGGATTTCAACCAACCAACCAAGTATGTATTAACCTAAAAGAAGATAATACGGCACAGATTAAGAGAATGGGCTCTGATTTAAGCAGACCTGGGTTTGTGCCTTTGTTTTTCCAACTGCTAGCTCAGTGGCTCTGAGCAGGTGACTCAATCGAAGCTGTGGCTTCCTCATTAGTAGGGTTGCCAGTGTGCTTGGCATGTAGCTTGTGCTCAATTAAACTACCTATGGACTATTTTGCAGTCATTAAAAATATCTACAACTCCCTATACATAGTCACAGAAAACAGTCCTAAAAACCACCTAGCAGCTGCTGCCTCAGGTGGATAATTTCTACTTTCTTCTTTGACTTTTATTTTGGAATAAAACCCAAAATGATTAAAAAAACAAATACATTATGGAAACCAATGGTGACAAGGCTATATAAAAAAGTTTATGGCAGCCCTGGCCGGTTTGGTTCAGCGGTTAGAGCGTTGGCCTGCGGTCCTGAGAGACCCGGGTTCGGTTCCCACTAGGGGTGCGTGCTTCGGTTGCAGTTTGTCCCCCGCCCTGGTCGGTTGTGCGGGTGGCAGCCACTCGATGTGTTCCTTTCGCATCGATGTTTCTCTCTCTCTCTGGTCCTCTCTCTCCCTCCCACTCTACCTGAACAAAAAATGGAAAAATGTCCTCGGGTGAGGATAAAAAACAAAAAAAATCAAAACAAAAAAGTTTATGGCATAAATATTAAATTAAAACTACTTCAAAATCGTTTATATAGTATGATTACTCTTGCTGTAGGGGGAACTCTTATGCACAGAGACAAGCAGACTAGATAATTAATAGTAAGAAAACTTTTTTCAAGTTGCATTTCAGGCCTCTTCAGGTGGTCTGGAGACCGATTCTTTAGCTGTGCTTGTATCACCAGACAACCCTGAATATACTGCCCCTCTGCCTACGATCCATGGAGTGCTAGTCAACTCCTTTATTTGTCCATCCCATCTGCCTACCCTTCTCACAAGCCCCCTGCCCAGCCAGATGAAAACTAAACCACTGATTCTAAGGTAAGCCTATGTTCATGGGCCACAGCAAGAGCACTGTCTCTTTCCTTTCAGAGACTGCTGGTTCACGCATAACATGTGACCAATTCCGAAAAATGGCAGAACAGCTCACAGGCATCCCCCCTAAGGAAGACAGATGCATACTCACATCTTGACCGGAATGCCGTCTCCTTTCTCCTGCCACATAGGCAGACTCTTCCTCTGGTGCTGCCCCAAGGCGGTAGCCACCCCCAGCAAATGGCTATAAAAGACAAATTCATCAATGCTTGAGTGGGTCAGTGGTGGTGGGGTTACTCAGATACAATGATGTACTGAAAGCTTGTTAACTACTAGATCCACTTTATCTGGGTATCAAACTCAGAGAGAGCTACAGGCCCAGGCAGAGATGCAGGGCCACATACATGCCACTTAATGGCCATGGTTAGGTGAGAACTGGAAATGGGGAATGCTGCTTGACTCAAGGGAAAAGTTACTCCTAGCTCTAGTTAATTATAATTATGGCCAAGTAGGAATTTGTGTACAGGACAACAATGAAGAATTTTTTATTTCCCCGAAGAGATAGAAATCCAGATTTTATATAAATAGGTGGCTACTAATTCAATTAAAACAAAGCAAAACACTGAGTAAGTCAAATTAGATAGGCCACATAAAATGTGTGCAGAACCCAACCTAGACCACAGGCCACAAGTTTGAAAACATCGTCACAAATCTTGATTTCATGTTAAAGGGTGGGAGAAACTGTCCTGCTCTTCTGTATATGAGAGTAAGTGAGCAAATAAAAAACAAAAATTTAGTCCCTACTGGGGTGAGGAGGATCTCCTTCTTCTGCTCTGGAACCTGAGTCCTGTGGACAGAGAAAATGACCCTCTATGCCAGCGGTTCTCAACCTGTGGGTCGCAACCCCTTTGGGGGTCGAAAGACCCTTTCACAGGAGTCGCCTAAGACCATTGGAAAACACATATTTCTGATGGTGATTTGTAACAGAAGCAAAATTAGTTATAAAGTAGCAATGAAAATAATTTTATGGTTGGGGGTCACCACAACATGAGGAACTGTATTAAAGGGTCGCGGCATTAGAAAGGTTGAGAACCACTGCTCTATGCTCACTCTCGGTTTACTGGTCTCTCCAGGGCTCTTGGTCACTCGCTCCACAGCTACGGCTCCATGTTCCTTGGCACCTTTAAATAGATCATCCACCAGCTCATTGGGACTTTTCTTCCTGGGAGGGCCAACAATCTGTTGTCCACTTCTCTCTGAGCCTCCGGCATAAAACCTGTGTAGAAAATAAACATCTGACACCAAACACTCTTGGAAAACACGAGTATAGCATGTACCAAGCTCTGGGCTAGGTGCTGGGCACACTGAGGCAAAGGGTACTATGCCCATCTTTAAGGAACTGACTGTCTAGTTGGGGACAAGTGTAAGGAGGCAGGCAGGCATAATGCAGTGTGAGCAGCAACAGAGGTCAGTATAAGGGTTGCTCTGGGAACACTGAGCTGGGAGGACAGTCAAGACTTCCTAAGAAGGGTGTCTTCTGAATTGAGTCTTGAGGATGAGGATGAATTTATCAGGTAAAGAAATCAGGGAAGGGCATTCCAGGCATGCATGACAGCACGTCAGCTCCGGAGAGTCCCAACTGGCAACTATCCATCTGGTGGCCAGCACCTCTCCAGAACATAGCAACTATGGTCACAGTCAGAAGCAGCTACCACTAGCAGCTCTGGGTTAATAGTGACAGTGGCATGGTTAGTACAGGCAGCGAGGCTCCAGTGTTGGCTCTGCTGCTGAGGGACCCTGGGCAAGCCAGTGCATTGCCCTGTATCTTACTTTCTTTGTCTCTGAAATGGGAGGGAAGAACCACATGCCCTACCTACCTGCTCCTTAGGTCAGGGCCATGAGGTTCAAATCAGCAGATGTATGCAAAAGAACAAGCACAGAGTAATGCACACATGTAAGGTGGTGTGACACAGCACCAAGAGCTCACCCAAGCCTCACTTCACCTTGCTATTCTTGTAACATACACTGGAGGCACTGAAATGAGGTACTGGAAAAGGTCAGCGATGCTCAAAGACAAGCTCAAGATACCCATATTGGGCTTTGCAATGGGCCAAACATGGCTTGAGATTAAGTTAGCACTTTTTTACCTGGGTCTGAAAACCAGGAGTCACATAGCCTGGCTAGCTCCTTCCTTATCACTTCTATTCACAGCTAAGTCAATAGCATGTCCCTGGGTAGGGGGACTTAAGAACCTATAAAAATTAGTCTCAGCCTTTTATTTCCTGACATTCCCTAGGGAATGCAAGAAAAAGCCACAGGCTATGGCAAGACCACCACCACCAGTGTCATCAGGTCTGAAACGCTGAGGGGCCAAGAAAGTAATCAGGATGTGAAATAAAGAAAAGTAAATGTATGGAAGATGTGACAGAATGGAGGAAGAGGTCATTTAGGAGCTGGGCATTCACATACTTGATGACACTGCCTGTCATTCAAGGAGTGCAAAACCCTGAAATTGACATTTGTTTCTTTCTTTTCTTTTTTTTTTTTTTTTTAATCCTCACCCGAGGATATTTTTCCATTTTTTGTACAGATAGAGTGGGAGGGAGAGAGAGGAAGAGAGAGAGAGTGAGAGAAACATCGATGTGAAGGGACACATCGAGTGGCTGCCACCCGCACGACCAACCAGGGCCGGGGACAAACTGCAACCGAAATACGTGCCCTTAGCGGGAACTGAACCCGGGTCTCTCCGGACCGCAGGCCGACGCTCTAACCGCTGAGCCAAACCGGCCAGGGCAACATTTGTTTCTAAACCTTGAGCATATCTAAGAAGGCTCTGAGGCAGTGCAAAGTGTATACAGATGAAGTCAGAGAATAGAACACATGTAATTTCTCAGCTCACTTCTTAAAGTGTGACCATAATGAGCTAAGTGCATTTCCATAGTGATTACACAATGCTCCTTAGGAATGGTTGACAGACCGAGGCAGAGTCCATGGAGAAGCAAAATCTGTGAAATGAGGCTGCAGCCAGTTCATTCTTGCTCATTCCAGGTAGATAAAATTCTGCTCAATGGACTGTAAGGTCTTTATTAAAGGATCTCCTAGCCTTGCCTTGAAAACTAGGGGCCTAAGATCAAGTACCTTAAAAACATTCATGCCCATGACCTAGTATTTTCATTTCTAGAAACTATTTTAAGAAAATAATCTGAAATGTAGTCAAATAATCTGAAATGTATGTTCATAGCACTGACATTTACAGTCGTCAGTGGTAAAAAAAAAAAAAAAAAATGAAACAATCTAAATGTCAGACATCCTGCATAATGGATTATTATTATAGTCATTGGAAACATATATGAAGAGTTTTCATGACATGAAGTGTTTAAGATGTAGCAGTAACCCAACAATAGCAAAAAACATTATCTGACTATCACCATGTAAAATACAAAATAAAACAAAGTATATTTTATACACAGAACCAAGACTGAGTAGAAACACACCAAAATATTAACATAGTTACCAACACAGTGGATGAGTGTTATATTTTTTTCATTACACTATTCCGTATTTCCTACAATAAACACTAATCTCATTATAACATTCCTAAAAGTTAAAAACAAACAGTATAGCCCTGGCCGATTTGGCTCAGCGTTTAGAGCACTGGCCCTCAGACCAATGACAGGGTTCATTCCGGTCAAGGGCACATACCTCAGTTGCGGTTTGTCTCCAGTCCTGGTCGGGTCGTGCAGAAGGCAACCTGTCAATGTGGCTCTATCACATTGGTGTTTCTCTCTGCCTCTCTCCCTCCCTCCCACTCTACCTAATAATAAGTGGAGGAATATCCTCAGGTGAGGAATAAAAAAAAACAAACAGTATGTATATACATACAGTGGGGGAATATACATTTAGGTATAAGTCCTTTATTCTGTTTATTATGTGATGTATTGCTTTTCATTTATTTTTAATTCTTATTGGTTTTTTGAGAGAGGAAAGGAAAGAGAGAGGAAGAGAGAAAGAGAAACACTGATGTGAGAACAGAACATGGATCGGTTGCCTCCTGCACACCCCCTACCGGGGATTGAGCCTGCAACCCAGGCATGTGCCCTGACTAGGAATCAAACCAGCAACCTTTTAGTGCACTGGACAACACCCAACCAGGTGAGCCACACTGGCCAGGGCTGTGATGTATTGCTTTTAATTAAAAAGAAAATGCTGGAAAGAAACACAGCAAAAATACTGATACCTGGTTACCTCTGGGTCACAGTATTATGACTTTTTTCTTTCTTATTGATTTGTTTCCCTTCCCATAATCTTCTTCAATAAATACATATTACTTTAACAATTAAAAACAAAATAAAGCCAGAATACACCAAAATAAAAGTAGTGACAGGGAACAGAGATTAGTTCTACTCTCTGGGAGGAGGGGGGAGGACTGTTTCTAGTATGTGTGTGACTAGTCCACAGTAGGAATGGCTAATGATAACCAAACATGTTTATCCTTCTAGATGATTTACACATTACCATGATTTACACATTATCAAGGACTTTTCTGTGGTCTGTGCTCCCCCATGAAAGACTCACCTCTGGCCCTCCTCCTCTTCTTCCTCCTCATCTTGGTCATGAATGAGGTCTTTGAAGGATGTTACCCTGTTATCGCTGGAGATGCAGAAAAGAGCAAAATAATCTCAGGGTATTCAAGAAAGGTAACCCCCATTACCAGCTGTTAAGGAGTTGAGGACACTGGGATTAGATATTTTTTGGTAGGGCAGGAAGAGGATCTTTGTGGAAGAGGGATAACCTCTCTAAATTTATATGTAAAATAATGTGGCATTTATTTCTTCAAGGTCACACAGGACGGAGAATAAGTTAGAAGGGGGGGAATGAGATTGGGCTCTGTACTATTTTAAAAACTTACTAATAAATAGCTACCTTCATCATTTAATTTTTAAATACTGAGGAAATACCTGTGCTAGGCACTGAACTAGATGACAGGTCTATAAAGATGAACACACATGGTTCTTACTGTTGAGCTGCTTATCAGCTAGTAGCACTTTGGCCAGGAAACCATCACTAAATACTGTTCACTAGGGGTATGACAGAGGGAAGCACGTGGGGCACATGAGCAGAGAGCGATGTTCTGAGGGGGAATGAGGGAACATCAAGAAAGATTTCCCAGAAAAACGCAACATTTGGACTGAGTGCTAAAGAACTGACGGACTGCCAGCCAGTTGGATAAAGGGTGGTGGGGCTGGCAGGGAAAGGGAACCAGCAGGGCACTACAGGAAAGCAGCATATGCACACGCACAGACACTAGCAGGAGTAACTCATTAGAAGGAGGACAAGCTGTCAAGATGTAGAAATGAAAAAAATATGCAGGCAAGGAGGCCTTGGTAGGGAACCAGCAGGGCACTACAGGAAAGCAGCATATGCACACGCACAGACACTAACAGGAGTAACACATTAGAGGAAGGACAAGCTGTCAAGATGTAAAAATGAAAAAAATATGCAGGCAAGGAGGCCTCAGTCTGCTTCTACTGTAGGTCAGTCAAGAAGTATTTGTTAGTGTTCAGAAAAAAAAGCAGAGTTGTCTGGGGTATGGTAGAGAGGTACACTAAAAATGGGTGTGAAGAAGGTTAACTCCCTCCTCTGACACTGTCTTACACTGCCACTTTTTTCTTTTTTTTGTTTGTTTGTTTTTATCCTCACCCGAGGACATTTTTCCATTTTTTGTTCAGGTAGAGTGGGAGGGAGAAAGAGGAACAGAGAGAGAGAGAGAAACATCGATGTGAAAGGAACACATCGAGTGGCTGCCACCCGCACAACCGACCAGGGCCGGGGACAAACTGCAACCGAGGTACATGCCCTTAGCGGGAACCGAACCCGGGTCTCTCAGGACCGCAGGCCGACGCTCTAACCGCTGAACCAAACTGGCCAGGGCCACTGCCACTTTTTTTTCTAGTTTAGATTTGTCCTCAAGGAACAATCTTAGTTGGTTTTTTTTTCCATTTTTTTGTACAGACAGAGTGGGAGGGAGAGAGAGGAAGAGAGAGAGAGGGAAACATCGATGTGAAAGGGACACATCGAGTGGCTGCCACCCGCACGACCAACCAGGGCCGGGGACAAACTGCAACCGAGGTACATGCCCTTAGCGGGAACGGAACCCGGGTCTCTCTGGACCGCAGGCGGACGCTCTAACCGCTGAGCCAAACTGGCCAGGGCACAATCTTAGTTTTTAATGGATCACAGAACACACATTTTATAAAAACATTTTCTGTATTTCTTAGGAGAAAATAGCAGCGTTCCTAAAATATGGTGGCAAGAGGGTAACACAGATTTAGTGAGACTAGACAGAGAAGGAAGAGTTGTTTACTAGGAAGAAAGCTCCAGTTCAGTCTTAAAGATTTATTTCAAGGAGACAAACAGGGGACAGAACATGCTTTGAGGTTCCATCAATTAGAAATGGGAGGACAAAGACCAATTGATGAGGCAAACACATTCCCTGCTAGAGTTAGCTGAGAGCTACCTCCCGGATGCTCTGTATGACATGGTTCAAAAGAAAAATCCTGTCTCTCTGTTGTTAAACACCTTCAGATACACATGTGTACACTTGCTTGAGCAAACCATTTGCTTTAGCTATGGGTTTGAGTCTTTCCCCAAAGTTCTTATACCTAGACTGCGACAGTACCTAACACAGACTCTGGTGTCTACATATCTGGGTCCCATCTCAACTTAGCCTCCTACACCCTGGGATCTTGGGCATACTAATAAAGTTTCTAAGCCTTCATTTTCTCATGTGAAAATGGAGACAATCACAGCACCAACCTCATAGGTTTTCTGTGAACAGCCGGGGTACTGATGCATGGTGTAGCACATGTCAAGTACTACTCTTGAGCAGTGGTTCTCAAAGTGTTGGTTCTTGGACTGGATCATCTGTATTACCTGTGAAACTGTGAGAAATGCATATCCTCAGGCCCCACCTTAGATCTCTTAAAACAGAAGCTATGGAGGAGTGTCTAGCAATCTGCTTTTAAGGACCCCCAACCCCCCCAAGAAATTCTGATGCATGCTCAAGTTTGAGAACCACTGCTCTGAGTTACCTTAATGGCATGGATGTCTTAGAGACACTGCCAATTTCAGAATATTTTGTCTGTGTCCTCCACAAACTGGCAAAATGTCTCAGAAATCTCATTTTTTTCAGCATCAAAATTCTTATCTCCCGGGCTACTCTGGCACCCTGAAGTGGCACAAAAGTCTTCTGTCAGATCACATTTTCTGCAGTGCAGACTGTCCAATATGGAAACCACTAGTCACATGTGGCTATGGAGCATTTGAAATGTGGTTAAGTACAAATATTTAATTTTAATTAATTTAAACAGCCACATGAGGCTAGCAGCTACCATACTGGACAGTATAGTTTTAGATTAGATAATGGCAATCCCTGAAATTCTCAAAAAGTATGGTTTTGTTAGATGAAAGAAAAAAAAGGAATTAACTGCTACCTCTCGGTTGACCCTATGCTAGGTATAGGGGTAGGAGATGCTGAACAGGCAGGTAGAAGTAGCTCTGGATTTAGACACACTTGGGCTTGAAAGGGGCATAACAGCAACTATAAGGTATTCAACCTAAGACTCAGCATCTTGACCTACTCGCACAGCTATTGAGATATAAGAACAAAACATAGGCGAGAATATCTGGCAGAGCTAGACAGACATGGGTGCTCCTGAAATACTAGCCCTACCACTTCTAGGAACTTATAATTTACTTAGGGAGAAAAAGTTAAGTTAAATGTCAGGAGAAGAGTTCACGACAACACAGTAGAGATGTCACCGAGCAGAACAAAGAGGATATGAGTCAAAGGAGTGAATGATTATAGTTGTGACTGGAGTTCTGAGGAATAGGATTGCAGTGTGCTTGTTGACTATGGGTTGGGGATAACATGCTCAATAGGGCAGGTGGGGATGGAGCTAAACCTGGAAAGAAGCATGATCTGGACAGGCAGAAAGTAAAAGAGTGGGCATGCCCAACCAGGTGAGAGGCTCAAACAAAAGCAGATCCAAAAATAAGGCAAAATTGAGACACCGAAGAAATCAGTCTGGTAAATGAGAAAAAGGGGTTAAGGTTAGGATGGAAGGCTCATGGCAAACTCTGGAGGACCCTGAATGTCCACAAGGAGAGGTAGTACAACATTCTGGCTGAACACTGAATGCTGGAACCAGAAACAGATCTGCATTTAAATCCTTGTTTATTAGCTGTATGATCTTGGGAAGATGCCCAGCTTCAGTGTCTTCATCTGTAAAATGAGAATAATAACAGTACCCACCTCATAGGGTTGTAGTGAGGAAAAAAAAAAAAAAAAATATATATATATATATATACACACACACACTTAGCCCAGTGCCTGGTACTTGGTAAGTGCTCAATAAATGACAGCTGTTACTACAGAGGAATTTAGGCTTTCTCCTATAGCAAAGACTAATCTTTTTATGTCCCGTAGATCTTTGAGAATCTGACAAACACTATCAATTTCCTTACCAGGAGAGATACAACATACAAATTTTTGCCTACAATTGCAGGTAATTTATGAACCTTCTCACATTCACTCCTTGGATTTCTCCAAAGGGTTCAGAGCCTCCCACTAAGAACGCTTGTTCTAGAGTCAAAGGAGTAATTTACTAATTGTTGTTGATGGCAGCAGTGACGACATGGACGATATCTGCGAAGATCACAGTGGGGCATGGGGAGAGCCCAGAGGAAGGCTAAGTGTCCTGCAGTAGTCAGGTCAAACAGGATTGGGGTGGGGCAGAAGAAGGCCCCACACAGAATTCCTTTAAGGTATTTGCACAAGCTTGGCTTCTGAGAATGTAGTCAGTATTTTCCTTCTGGGCAAGGTCAACAATGCAACAAACTGTGCCCTCCCTCTCCCTCAATGCCAAGTCTGAGGCTTAACCAAAGCAATAAAGCAAGGCCTTTAGGTATGCACGTGTTCAGTTTTTTACTCCCCTCAGTCTTAACATTACACTTTCTTTGATTCTTTTACTTTTATGTCTATTTTTAAATATGTGTACTTGCTGTGAAATGACAGGGTACACACACCAAAAAAATGGGGACAGTGAGAATAGATGCTAATGATAATAAAATGACAATAACAGCAGCTAATATTTACTGTGTTCAAAGTGCTTTGTAAGTATTAACTCATTTAATCTCCTGGTTGGTAGGCACTAACTACCATTCGCATTTGACAAGTGAAAAAAACTGAGGGACTAAGATGTTAAGTGACCTGCCCGAGGTCACAAATCTCCACAGTGAAAGAGCCAGGATTTGACCCTAGGCAGTTAGGCTCCTAGGCTCATGCTCTATTAAACCACTCCCTTGATAGGACTTTGGGATTAGTAGAGATGAGAAGTGTGAATACGTGACTGGCATCATAGGCTAAGTTTCAACTTTTCTTGCTCTGTATTTGACGTGCCAACATCCCAACAGTAACCTGGGGTGACTATGAAAGACTCACACTCCAGGAAATCATCTGTCTCTACCAGTACCTGCAAGAAGAGCCCTAATACTAATAAACATATCCCAGGCAGTAATACCCTGATGTGCCATTAAGGACATCTCCCAGGATAACACCTATGAATAATAAAAAGATCAGCTGCCTACAACCTCTTTCCTCTGGAAATGGGAGGTGGGGAAAGAAGTTAAGGAAGCAATGAGATCTGGGGTTAGTGTTCTTTAAAGGGAGGAAATGTGGCTCTGTGGTTCGGGCATTGGCCCATGCATTGAAGGGCTGTGGGTTTGATTCCCAGTCAAGGGCATGTACCTGGGGTGCAGGTTTATCCCCAGTCCCAGTCGGGATACATGCAGGAGGCAACCAATGTGTTTCTCTCATGCTGATGTCTCTCTCTCTCTCTCTCACACACACATCAATGTCTGTCTCTGTCGCTCTTCCTGTCCCCTCCCTTACACTCTCTAAAAAATCAATGGAAAAATACTCTTGGGTGACGATGAACAAAAACAAACAAACAAAGGAGATGTAATTTAAGGCTCAGAAACACAAATAGCAACTTCACTGGCAAAGAAACACCATACCTATATTCCAGGGTTAAAGTTAAACCCAAATAAGTTTTTCTGGTAAAAACATATGCCAGAGAATTGAAGCAAATCAAGTTAAAGCAGAGAGGAAAGTTGCAGTTCAGACACTTTTTTTTTTTTAAATCCTCACCTGAGGACATTTTTGCATTTACCTTCAGATAGAGCGGGAGGGAGAAAGGGGGGAAGAGAGAGAGAGAAACGTCTATGTCAGAGAGACACATGGACTGGCTGCCACCCATACAACCCCAACCGGGGCTGGGGACAAACCGCAACCAAGGTACATGCCCTTAGCAGAAACCGAACCTGGGACTATCTGGTCTGCAGGCCAGGGCGCTCTAACCGCTGAGCCAAACTGGCCAGGGCCAGTTCAGACACTTTTGTTGGGAGAGGCCTTACCAGTTTCCTGGAAGACCAGGACTGTCTCACTCTACAGGTCACAAAAGAGGTCTGCCCTAGTAATCTTGGAACCAAGGTGGCTGGGACAGGGGATGCAAATAGGATTATAAAGATTAGCCGCAGTTCACCTAATAAGATAAGGTCTCTGTAATCTATTTGGGAAAGGATGGGTTACACAAGTTTATTTTCTCTGACTTCTTAATCGAGTAATGGGCATCCTAAAGTGTCAAAAACAAAACCCTTTTTAAAGTCTAATCTTTTACATCTACAGCTCTGCTGGAAAGAAGTCCTTCAGTTTCTATTAAAAAACTCCAGAGATGGAGAAGCCACTCCTCACTTTTCATAAATAAAAGACCCTCAGACATCTTCTATTTTTTAAAAAATATTTTTTGTTTATTGATTTTAGAGAGGGGGCGCAGAAACAACGATGAGAGAGAAAGATCGACTGGCCATCTCCTGTATGCTCCCTACTGGGGACCGAGCCTGCAACCTGGGCATGTGCCCTGACCAGGAACTGTATCAGTGACCTCTTGTTGCATGGGTCAATGCTCAACCACTCAGTTATACTGGCCGGGCAAGATCCTTAAACATCTTAAAAGTAGATTCTGTGATTTCCCTCAGGACTGGATCATAAATCCCCACCTGAGTGTGTTATGCCTAACTCTATGGGAAAGGAACAGTCAGGTCAAACAGGGTTGGACTGGGGGAAAGCAGGCTCCATACAGAATTCCTCTAAGGTGCTAGCACAAACTTGGCTTCTGAGAACACCGTCAGCATTTTCCTCTGGACAAGTAACGACGACCCACCAGTCCAGTTTTCTCACTCAAACCCACTGGTCCATATCCCCAGGCCTGAACCCTCTGTCAAGTTAGGAAACAGTCCCTCATCAATGCTGGAAGTACACCCATATAACAATAATTGAAATTGGCCCTTACCTGGGGGCTGTGCCTCTGGACACTGAGCTGGGGGTTGCCTGCGAAATGGTCACAATGTCTTCATCCCCTCCATCCTCATAAAAGCTTGCTAGGGCGATCTGAAACAGAGAGGTAATAACTTGTGACCCTTAAACAGGCTTTCATCTAACACATATCTCCTTTGAGTACAAAGAAGCAAAGACACAAAGATATGGCCCACACTTACAAGTAGGTCTGCATCTGGGGGCCATAGAAAATTAGACAAACTGTTAGTCTTCACACTACTTGAAACAAATTCCACCTCATATGAGATAGAGGCTGGGGGGAAGGCAAGAAGGAAGGCTCGCATGGAGACACTCCTCGTTTTCATTTGACTAAAAAATGTGGCCCTGGCCGGTTTGGCTCAGCGGTTAGAGCGTCCGCCTGCGGTCCGGAGAGACCCGGGTTCGGTTTCCGCTAAGGGCATGTACCTTGGTTGCAGTTTGTCCCCGGCCCTGGTTGGGTGCGGGTGGCAGCCACTCGATGTGTCGCTTTCACGTCAATGTTTCTCTCTCTCTCTCCCTCCCACTCTATCTGAACAAAATATCGAAAAATGTCCTCGGGTGAGGAAAAAAAAAAAAAAAATGCGATCTAGTAAAAACAATGTTCATTTATTGAGCATTTATTTATGTGCTGCACTGATTATAACTGTACATGTATTAACTCATTTCATCCTCAAAGAACCCTATGTAATCAGTTATCATCCTTTCATTTTATAGTTGATACAGAAGTACTGAGAAATTAAGAAAACTGCCAAGGTCACACAGTTGTTAAGGAGCAGAGCCAGGTTCCATCCCAGGCAGTGTGCTTAGGCCTTTATTCTCAGCTCTTACGTAAGGAGTCAGGAACTGTGAGGCCAATTCAGGTTGCTACTTCTACTTTCTCTCTGAGGCCCGGTTTCCTAATATGTGCAATGGGGCCACCTATCCCATCAAACCTGCACAATGGATGAGAGGACCTTTTAATACTTATGCATAGTCAAGTCTTAGCTTTATAGACAAGAAATATGGAAGTCTTTTGGCCATTTGTGATTGTTTCTCTCGACTCAAAGGGCAGGTATTTACTAATCACTTTGCACAAAGAAATAAAGAGTTCTGAGGTCTACAGAGATGAAAAAGAAATGGCTCCTGTCCTCAAGGTCACCAGCCTTATAGGAGGCAGTGAACTGTTATGGGACATAAATCTGCCGACTAGGAATAGTGTGCCTTCATGGGATATAATATAACCTACCCACTGTAGGCAGTGTGCCTTTGCAGGACATAACAGGCCTGCCAGGAGAAAGTGTACTGTCATGGGATATGCACCAGATTGGCACTGAGAGGTGCCTACATTCAAGTCCTGGCCCAGCCAGGCAGGTCATGTCATATGCAAGGCCTCAATTTCCCCACCTATAGTGTGAAGAGACTGGGACTGATGACTTGCCAATTTTAACACAGTGAGCTTCTAGGTCTTTTGGGCGTAGGCTGCATTTTGCATTTCTGCCCTGTACAAGGGCTTCATTCACACTGTGTGTCTGCAGAGGTGTGATGCTTTATCTCTTTGGGGAAGCAATTCAAATGGTGAAGTCAGCAGACCCAGTTCAAATCCCAACCTCACTACTTACTGACTGTAGCCTTGGGCATATCACTTACCCTCTGAGCTTCCAATTCCTCATCTATACAATAAGACTAGTTGTCTTTACTTCAGTGTTGCCACGATTAAACAAATTATCACATGTAAACTGCCAGGTGTATACGGTGGTTAAGAGTTTGGGCTTTGGAACCAGACATTACTGAGTTCTAATGGTCTCTCTTCCACCTGGTAGTGCTGAGGCCTTGATTGAGTTACTTAACCTCCCTAAACCCTGGCTGCAAAATGCAAAGTTTAAATGACTTAAGATCCATAAAGCTGTTAGCACATCGTCTGGCTCATGATAGGTAGTCAATAAATATTTATCATCCTCAACCTAAGATGTATGCTGGCCAGAAACATTTACACAATTCTTTCTACAATTACTGAATACCTATTAAGTGCCAGGAATTGTTCTAGGCACGGGTGATTAAACAGTTTACAAAAATCCCTGCCTTGTGCGGCTCATCTTAATGTCTTATTCAATAAGTATTTGTGAATATTTAATACGTGCCAGTTAACTAGACAATAATCTCCAAGAGACCCCCATTTTAAGTAACCAAGAAAGATACACTACAACCCTGCGCCACCACCCACGAGGTAGTTTCTCCCAACAATTAGGTAGGAGGGGGCGTGGGCCAAATCCTTGACCCGGCTGCTCGCTCGAGCTGCGGAAATGGAAACAAACCACCACGTCGTCCCCGGCGCGGCTCCACTCCGGAGCTGGTCACTCCAGCCCGGCCTCCATCCGAGATTCGGCGCGGCCGCCACGCCCCCAGGCTCCCCGTCTCTACGCGGGTTGCTGCAGTGCCCAAAGTCTCACTGGCCCAGCGAACCGCCCAGGCAGAAGGGGAAACTGAGGCCAGACAGAGCAGGTGGGGGCCGGGCCTGCCCGCATTTTACCACGACCAAGCCGAGGTGGCAACGCTGGGCAAGCGGCCACGGGCCCCTGAGGCCTGTGTCGGGCCGCGGCCCGGCGGGATGACTGTGCGCTTCGGCCACCACGGGCTTGACGTGCTAGGCGCCCGCGCCCCGCAGCCCCCGGCCTGCCCGACGCAGCCTGCCTCGCGGCGCTACCTGCAGATCCCAGCCGGCCGATTCAAGGAAGAAGCGAGCCCGGTCCTCCTCAGTGCCCGTCACCGCCACAAACTCCCTCAGTGCCTCCTGCCTCTCCGCCATCTTCGCCCCGTGTGCCGCCGAAACCACTCCGGTCGTCGCTGCACTGCCTCAGCCGTGCTGCCGCGTTCCGTCCGCAGGTGGACCCGGTCCAGCCCAGCGGCGCCCGCCTTCAGGCCCCGCCCCACGTGGTGCCTCACGCAAAGCCCTCCGTGCGGGAAATTCCGCCGCTCCGCGCCCTCTAGCGGGCTCAGCGCAGATCCGCAGCCCAACGGCGCGCGGTCGGAGCGGCGCGGAGAATGAGAGGCGGAGCGGGTCCTAAACACAAGGATAGATAGAATGCAGGATCACTGAAGGAGCCAGAACCGCAGTTATCCGTGGACTCATCCGTCTTTTCATTAGTTTATTCATTCGTTCACTCACTTGTCAAATATTTACTGAGTGTTATCAAGGGCCCGGTGCTCTTGCAGGGCTGGGGTTCAGCAACAAGCAAATCAAAATTCCTGCCTTCTTTTTTGCTTACATTCTAGGGAACAAAAGCAAACCTTGAATACCAGGTCACTCCTCCCTTCCAGCCCTTCCGTGGCTCCCCATCTTACTCCGCGTGAGTCTTAGGGCCCATGCGACGTGCACCAGCCCTTCCACCTCCTCTCTTAGCTTCTCATTAGCTTCCTCTGCTCCAGGCACACTGCCCTTCTTGATGTTTTTCAATGTGCCAGACATGCATTTGCATGAGTCTTCGCATTTGCTGTTCTTGCCGGGAACACAGGAACACCTTTCCCTTGCTGGTGGGCTAGGTACTGCCTTACTTTCTTCAGGCCTCTGCTCCAAGAGCACCTTATCAGACATGGTCCTGTCTTTTTAGGTCCTGAGTTTCTTTGCCCTTTTGCCTCTTGCCACCTGCCTGTATGTGCTTCTTTTTCTCTTCTTTGCCAGATCCTGCTCATCCATCTGGGGTCAGTTTAGGTATCCCCTCTTCAAGGAGGCCTTTCTGTTAACCTTAGGCAGTCAGTTGGAGTGCAAGGGAGTCTCTCCCATTGGTCAAGATGGAACAGGGAAGGTTCTTACACCAAGCAGCCAAAAGGTAGAAAGATGAATGTTCAAAACCCCAGCCACCAAAAGCTAGCAAAATAATTGGATATAAAAAAAGCCTTCCCCTCTCTATTCCCATAAGAACCCTGGGCTTGAACAGGAAGGGGAGATGGTCTTTGAGGCAGGAGCCCACCATTCTTCCAGGTCACAGGGCACTTGAATAAATCTCTTTCCTTTGGCACCAGCACCTGTCTCATGATTTTGGCTTTTGTTGAGGCAGGCGGCTGAATCTGTGTTTTCAGTTACATTTCTACATCCCCAGGCTCCATCAGACAATCTGCTGTGCATGCCCATTAAGTTTCCACCTTCCTCAAGGGCCACAATTCCTGTGCCAGCAGGGTCTGTGGCTGTCTCCAGCATAAGACAGCTAAGAGCACCTACTCTGGACTCAGACAGCCTGGTATTGAAACCCAGTTATTACAGTTTATATGATCTTGGACAGATTATCTTTCTAAGCTTCAGTTTCCTGATGTGTAAAATGGAGCTCCTAACAGTACCTATCTCAGAGGGATGTGTGACAATTAAATGAGAAGTTTTGAGAGTAATGTCTGATACTTATTAAGCCCTTAGCAAATATTAGCTGTCATTTTATCTCCCCTGACCTGCAATTGCTGACATTAAATAGCACTTACGGACTCTTTGCTGAATTAATGAAGAAGTGAATGATGGAAACCTTGACTTTCTGAACATTCTGGTGAGAAATGCAGAAGTCAGAATCTGAGGACAGAGATGTATGGCAGGTACCTGGACCCCTGAAGAATATTGAGCTGACTGTGAGATGTGACCTAATTTCAATACATAAAACTTTTCATTTTCCATAAAACAGATGACTTGTGTCAAGGAGAAATGGCCTGGGTCGGCTCACAGATCTGTAAACGCGCTGTCCTAAAGCGAAGTGGCTGCAAAGCCCTACCCTATGTTCACTGTGGTTGTAGGCTGGGCTCTCCCTGGACAAGGTGGGTGATATGAGGAGCCCCTTTCTTTCTCTAAGCTTCAGGGTCTACATTTGAGGAAGGTGGGATGTGGGCCAGCCCAGTATTCACAGTATTCTCAGACCCAGATCCCTTTTTTCATAACAAACATTTTGCATCACCCCATTACTACTTTAAATGGAATTCAGAGATAATAAAACTAACCCACATTCATTGAAAAAAATCAACATTGTGCCCAAAATGGATAAATAAAGGGAAAAGTAATTTGGAATTAAATAATCTGTATTTCAGTCCTCTGGTATAAATACAATACAAGACAAAATGAAGCAGTTAG